ATAATTCATAAGATAATTTACTACAAATAACCTACGTCCAGTATGTTCACACTGGCATTATTATCTTATCACTTGTATAAGGACGAATTCTAATACCACACACAGCGGCAGAACGATTTTGAAAGGGGGAGGGGGGAATTTCATGAGGTCCAATATACGAGCGAAGCGAGCATCTAGCCTGGGGGCCAGGGGGCCGTCTAGAGCCCCGGTGGGGGTCTACGGATATTTTACCAATTTTTATTTTACGTTTGGTGAATTTTATAAGTCATTTTATAGGCATTAAGCTACTGTAATATGACATATTTGTTGTAATTTCCAGTGGCGGATCCAGGAATTCGAAATAGAAGGGTCCAGGGAGGGTACTTTCACAGATAGAAGATCTGAGAAAATTTGTGATTATGGCACCTCTAGATTGCGGGAAATTTCACCCTTAAACTTATATTTGAATATAATTTTCCTTATATCTCCATTAAAAAAAAAATTGAACAATTTAACCCCCGCCCTTGAATGCATCACAGATTTCAGAACAAAGTCGAAGTCGAGATTGCTTCCACGATCTCAATGAATTATTTATCATAAGGGTTATCCTTGATATGGGTTCCCCGACTACAACTTCACTTTTCCTCCGATGGATAAAATTTACCCCTCTATGTAACCCGGAAATGATACTCCAACTGTGGCGGGTGGAAGTCGAAATAGAGGGGACCCAGGCAGGGTTTTGCGCAAATAAAATATCCACCCACCTCATCCGCGCAACTTTTGGGGCTGAGGTAAGAAAAATTATGATTATGGCACCTCCAGATGGCCGGAAATGGCACTCTCAGATTAAAAGTTGAATACAATTTTGTCTGTTTTCTTATTTTTTTTTTTTTTATAATTTAGGTTGAGGGCCTGTGCTGACAATATAACACTTGAAATAGCCTATCATTTTGTATCACAAATTCCTAATGTCAAGCGAAAGATATTTTTATTCGAAAGATTTTTTTTACTCAATACAGTTGTTACAACCTATATAACACATTAACTACAGCGTAAATTCTGTAGTTAACCTTCAGAGAACTTTATTTTAAAAAATGGCCTAATTAATTATCTTATTGTGTTCGTTAAATTAGATGGAGTTTAATTGTGGTTGTATTCCGCTAGTTTGAAGGTTTACTGTAAGCCAATCAGTTACACTTACTATACATCTTCGTGGTTAGCATAAAGAAAACTAGAGCGTCACTCCATTAAGAGTGCCTACATTCCCCTTTATGCCTAAGTACAGAATTCACGAAGGCAGGCGATTTTTGCTTCATGCTTGAGGGTGGGATTCAAGGAAACTACAGACGCGCGTATACAGACATCAATCAACATTTGGTTGCTCAACTCAAACAGGGAACTAGTAATGCTCGTTAGAAAATGAAAAAAAAAATTTATAATGATAATAATGATAATAACAAATAAACAAATTGTCTAACGTACGCACCAAATAATTTATGAGAGAAGATAATTTTGTTGACTTTGCATGGTTATTGTGAATAAACATTCTCCTTTAGCATAAATTTCTATATTAGGCCTATATATTATTTTATATTTTACTGTATTAATGAAATTTACAAAAACCTTAATTAAAAGCATTGATAGACCAACTACTATTTGAAAAGACAATAAAATTTCATTCATTTCAAGCATTTTTCATAAATCCTATAATAGTTTATTACTAAAATTTAGGTTTTCATTATATACTTATTTTATGAAAAATTAGAAAATTTTATTTTGCATAGCAACGGTTGCTATGGTGATGACCTTGTATTTTATTACACCATTAAATTCAATTTTCTATAAAAAGCTGTTAATCGTATAAAAAATATTGTATAAGCCGATCTAATAATATTTTTCTTGAGATAAATAATAACAGCAATTATGTGAATTCCATTCGTTGCTATGGAGTTATAAAAGTTCCGTAGCACTTCAGTAAAGGTGTTTGTTTGATTGTTTTTTTTTAATATTGCTCTTCCATAATACATAACCTAAATACAAAAATATTCATAAACCTATGACAATGATGATTTCAATACGGTAAGCTTTAAGCATCCCTTATACTTAAATTTCATGAATAAAATAGAAAATTTAAATTTGCATAGCAACAGTTGCTATGGTAATGACCTTGTATTTTATACATCAATGTGTTAACTTTGTTCAATATGAGATGTTTATTATATAAAAATATTGTATCTCATGATTTTTGCTTAGTCAATGACAAATGTACAGCAATTCTGCTGATTTTGCTTCGTTGCTATGGACTATAAAAAGAGTGTTGCTATGCAATTATATAAAAATTTCAGAATTTTTTTACATAATCCTATTCTATGATAATAATAGATAATTCAGATGTTAAACATATTCATAAAACCTATAAAAATAAAGATTTTAATAAACTTTAGGCTTCCTGTATACTTAAATTTCATGAATAAAATAGGAAATTTAAATTTGCATAGCAACGGTTGCTATGGTGATGACCTTGTATTTTATACATCAATGTGTTAACTTTGTTCAATAAGAGATATTTATTATATAAACATATTG